GTGTCCCTGCTGATCTGAGCTCTGCAGGCCACAGGGACCCATGTCTTCCTGAAGCGTCTCCAGGGCCCGGGTGGCGCTGTCCATGGTGAGGATCACAGGGAGGTGCTGATGGACGGGCTGAGGAGGAAGGAGGCCCCGTGGGGGAGGCTCTGACAGGGAAGGACGTGCCCTGGGTCAGCTCACCTGCAAGGGGCGTCTCAGGAGGGAGGCTCCGGGTCTATTTCCTGCTTCACCATGAAAATGAGAGCCAGGCTGCTAGAGAGAGGCTGTGCCCTTGCCTGTAGGCTACTGGCGTGACAACCCCATGACAGGCAGGGCCAGCCTCCAAGTGACCATCACCCGTGCGTCTGTCTGTCCACCCTACTAGCACCGTGGCCTCCTCCATCTGCTCAGCTGAGGCCTCCGGGAGAAGACGCCATGACCCCCACCCTCACGGCCCTGCTCTGCCTCGGTGAGATAGGAGGCAGAGGGGGGAACCCTGGTCTGTCAGGACCCCAGGACTCAGGAGGCTCATGGGGAGGAGGGTGCTGCTCCGGGCTCAGGGCAAATCTCTCACAGGGACTCTCTTCCAGGGCTGAGTGTGGGCCTCAGGAACCCAGTGCAGGCAGGTGAGTCTCCCCAGGAGTCCCTGGTCCCACTCCACAAGGGGTTATAACCTGTGCATCTGGGGATGGAGAACAGTGGTTCTGGGTTAATGGATGTGGGGCATCTTAGGAATGTGGGGGTGGGTAATGCCTTCTAACCCAGCCTTTGGTTTCCTTCCAGGGCTCCTCCCCAAACCTACTATCTGGGCTGAGCCAGGTTCTGTGATCCCCCTGGGAAACCCCATGACCATCTGGTGTCAGGGGACCCTGAAGGCCCAAGAGTTTTATCTGTATAAAGAGGGAAGCCCAGTACCATGGAAAAGAGAAAAGCCACAGGAGCCCGGAGACAAGGCCAAGTTCTCCATCACACACATGGCAGAGCATGATGCTGGGATATATCACTGTTACTATTACAGTCCTTCGGGCTGGTCAGGGCACAGTGACTTCCTGGAGCTGGTGGTGACAGGTGAGAGGACACTCAGAGGTCCCAGACTCAGGCTCTGCCCTCAGGAAGGGGGTCTGCTCTCAGGGTGTCTCCCTCTCACAGCCCAGCCCTGGGGGCCGTGAGGGAGGTGTGAGCCCATTAATACTCTCCTCCTCCTCTCCTAGGATCCTACAGCAAACCCAGACTTACAACCCTGCCCAGCCCTGTCGTGACCTCAGGAGGGAACGTGACCCTCCAGTGTGGCTCAGGGCAGAAATTTGACAGGTTCATTCTGACTAAGGAAGGAGATCACAGGCTCTCCTGGACCCTGGACTCACAGAGACAGCCCAGTGGGTGGTCCCAGGCCCTGTTCCCTGTGGGGCCCGTGACCCCCAGCCACAGGTGGAGGTTCAGATGCTATGGCTGTTTCAGGAACAGACCCCAGGTGTGGTCACAACCCAGTGAACCCCTGGAGCTCCTGGTCTCAGGTAAGTCCCATTATTGCCCCATCCATGGATTTAGGCTCCAGATACATTATTGGCATCTTTGCTGGGAGGAGACACCCCTGTGAGAGGGTGAGGTAGGGACTACAGGGGCCACTGGGCCAAAGACACAGAGAGAGACAGTGAGTCCTGGGTGCCAGGACAGGAGAAGGGGGTTTATGGGAGGAGCAGCCCAAGCTCCTTCCCAAGGGCTCATCAGGGCCCTGTGGGTGGGGATGGATCCAGAAGAGACTCAGAGTCCACCCCTCACCCTGCCCCTTGCTGTCCCTGCTGTGTTGGGGGTGGATAATGAGGAAGAACCCTCAGCTCCAGATGAGATATGGACAGGCCCCTGCAGAGAAGGAGCCCAGAGCACGAAGCTGGTGTCCTTCTGGGGGCTTGGGGCTCGGGCAACGTGAGGACAGCACAGGAAATCCACAGTCCTGGATCCCAGTCCCAGACCGGCCCCGTCCAGGCTGGGTGACATGGGGCACGTGATTAACCTCTCTGGGCCTCAGAAGTGGGTGGAGGGGTCAGCAATCCCTGGTGCATGACTGCTGTGAGGTGAGAGGGGATGAATGACAGACCCCAGCATGTGCCTCACACACAGTAGGTGCTCATTAAATGGCATCCTTTCCTCATTCATGACATCATGAGGGGATGAGGGCTCCCCAGGACCTTTCATACCTGATTCCTTTCCAGGAGACGTCCCCAAACCCTCCATGTGGGCTGACTCAGGCCCCATCGTCACCAACGGGAGCCCTGTGACCATCTGGTGTCAGGGGTCTCTGCAGGCGAGTGTCTACGTTCTGTATAAAGAGAGGGGCTCTGAGCCCTTGGATACGAGGAACCCACAGAACTCCAGCAACAAGGCCGGTTTCCTCATTGGCGCCATGACTTCACACAATGCAGGGCTGTACCAGTGTGCATATTACACCATTGGGGACATACTCTCAGAGCCGAGTGACCCCCTGCTCCTGGTGATGACAGGTAAGGGAGATACTGGGTCCCCTCCCTACTGTGGGCTCCAGGTCACAGGCAGAGGGAATACAGTGTGGCCTCAGGGGACCCCACCCCTCAGAGAACACACCTGGGGCATGAGGGTGATGGTCCCTTTAACACAGACCCTTTCTCCTCCCTCGGGAGTGGATGGTGCACCCTCCCTGTCAGCCCAGACAGGCCCTGTGGTGGCCTCAGGAGGGAACGTGTCCCTCTCCTGTAGCTCATGGTTCTCATGGGGCCCTTTCCATCTGCTGAAGGAGGGAGAGGGTGAGAAAGGTGTTAAAAGGAGATAAGAGACACCCCACCCCCTCAGGGGGACAGAGGAGCAGGGACGGGGTCACAGACAGAGTCTCTGGAGGACAAGCTCCCTCAGGTCAGGGTCACAGACGTGAGGGAAAAGGTGGCTCCCCACACACCACAACCTTCCTCTCCCCAGGAATGTACAGGAAACCCTCCCTCTCAGCCCAGCCAGGACCCTCAGTGCCCTGGGGAGCGACCGTGACCCTGCAGTGTGGGTCTGAGATCTGGTTTGACACCTTCTACCTGCACAGGGAGGGGTCACTGGACCCTCCCCAGCACCTTCGTCTGCAGGACACGTCCGCACCCTCTCAGGCCAACTTCACCCTCAGTCCTGTGACCTCAGGCCACCAGGGGACCTACAGGTGCTATGGCTCAAACAGCACCTCCCCCTACCTGCTCTCACAGCCCAGTGACCCCCTGGAGCTGCTGGTCTCAGGTGAGGAGCCTGACCCCGTCCTTTCTGTGCTCAGTCAGTTCAGGGCCCTGTCCCTAGGAGTGTGGGTGACAGTAATAAACAAGGAGGTGGAGGAGGTTCCACAGAGCAGAGTCCAGCCTATGAGAGTAGAGACAGACAGGACCTCCCACTCCTGAACCCCATTTCTGAACCTCAGCATAGATGAAGGGTAGGGAGGGTGAATGAGATGTGAGTGAAATGAGCAGGAATGTGATTAGACTGAGCAGAGAACACAGACCCTCCCCCCTCACCCTCACTCCACACCTAATACCACCACCACCACCACTCACCAGCTGACATCTTCATCTCAGAATCTGGGTCCCTGCAGTCCCAGCCCCCACTGGACACTCCCCTATAGAGAGAAGCATCCTGCCTTGGGCACCACACTGCACAGCCCCCTGTGCTTACCTGGAGGCCTCCAGGCCCTCAGTGCTCACCTGAGAACAAGGAGGGACCCTGCAGGCCTCATGGGGACCTGGGGCCTCCTGCCCGGACTTCGTGCATTCCCCTCTGCTCAGTGTCTCTGTGCACACGGGTCTATTATGGCTCTTTTTAGAGAACCTTCAGGCAACACTTCAGTCTATAAGCTCACAATTTAACTTACATTATATGGAGTCCAGATAGAAAGATAAACATTCTATTCTTCTTTTCATTGGGAGCAGATTAAATTTAGACATTTTTTTAATGGAGAATAACTTCTTGTTTATATAAAGTCTTCTTTCACACATTTTCAAATGAGGTTTATGCATGAACCTTAGAAGCATGTGACAGCCATTTGTAAAACTGTGTAAATGCCCAGCCCACCCAGAGAATTGCACCTCTAACGTTGTAATTTGTGAGAAAGCTGTTTGATTCCTGTACATTTTCTAAATGGTAGTAAGTGCACATAGGGAAGCTCTTGGCTTGGGCATATTTATTTCATGACCTGGTAGCCTCCTAAAGACTCTCTCCCTGTGGACTGTTTTTCAGTTGATCCCTCCAACATGCTGATAAAATTATAATCCCCACCAGGCCAGGAAAATTTCACTTCTTTATTTTCATTTGCATACCTATTTTTCTCACTCCACACCTAATACAATGAAACGAGGGATTAAAATGTTCCAGAGTTTTCCCTCTGGAAAACAGCTTAATTCACACCCAACCTTATGTCAAGGCAAACCCATTAAGAATTCTACATTTTGAAATGTAGAATTCTACAGATTGAAAGCCCAATTGGCCGTTTTGTTCTAATCCCTTCTTCTGTTTCATTAGGGTTTACTAGGAAGGCTCTCTTTTCCTGACAGACACACATCTCCTCATAATTATCCTTTCTCTGACTTTTAACCACATGACACACATTACAAGGGCTTCTTGGTGTCACCCACTTGGATATTAACCCAACTGAGTGACGCGGATCATCCATGTGCATGTTCTGAACTATGGAGCTGACATTTAGAGTTAATGCATGGATCACTGTAATGAGGAACAATCCATAACTTCCGTTTAAATCATGTGATTTATATAAAAATGGGGTAAGAGATTGACCTAAATTCCTACTTTTGGTGCCCACTAAATATTGAAATTAGGTGGATTTTTCTCTGTGACTTAAATTTGAACCAGAAGTGTGGACTTCCTTGGTTTTGACCTTAGTTGTCTTTTGAGTTAAAAAACAAAATTACATGATTAGCATTTACATACCCATATTTTTCATTTGGAAGATATATCTATCACTGTAGGTATTTGTTATTGTAAAATAAAGTGAGTTAATAAAAGAATCAATAGATGAACAACTTCAAGTGACAATGGATATAGCAGATTCATGAGAGGAGGGGCCTGGGTGGGGAGGGGTGAAGGAGACCCAGTCCAGACTTTCACCCTTTCGTGCTCCTGAGATCCAGGAGCCCCTGACACCAACCCCTCCTCCATGGAACCTGGGTCCCCAGCTGTGGAGAAGGTGGGATGTCTCAGCTATAGGGGAATAAGCTCATGGGGACTTGATCCACAGACTGAACACAGAGCACACAGCTCTTAGTTATTTCTGAACTGAGACCATTTCTTACTCATCCTCAGTACTTGGGCACAGCTAACTCTGATCAAGGTGAGTCAGAGCAGGTGCAGAGTTCAGACATCAGAGGGACACTGATGTCAAGGGGAGGTGGGAGCCCAGGTTGAACATCAAAATCCTAGAGATTTGAGTCTACCTTGACCTGTGAGACTTCTTGACCCCCAATTCTTATTTTTCCATCCCCAAGACTACACAGTGGAGAATCTCATCCGGTTGGGCGTGGCTGGCTTGATCCTGGTGGTGCTCGGGGTGCTGCTATTTCTGGCTCGAAACGACACCAGAAGGGCCCTCCATGCAGCCAGGATGTGAACACAGAGG